TGGCGTACACTTTCCTGCGACGTGGGATACAGGAGTTTCGGCTGTCCTCTTCGGTTGAGTGGACCATGGGCTTTCAGTCTTTGCATACCACCATCCGTTTTGCACAAATCAATGCCGTGGCATGCACCATGTTGAGCAGCCCGTCAAAAAGGTGGATGAGAGCAGTCGTAGACCTAGTACAGGAGCGTTTGCGAGTGAGTATTGTGTCACTGGCCAGCGTTGCGTACCAAACTGCAACTCAGTGTTGCATGTACTTCGATGCTGATGCGGAAGAAGCAGAAGTTGAATTGCACTTAGTGCATAGACTGCGCTTCCTGAGGTTTCGTAGCCCACTCTTCTAGGTTTCTTGAGCATAAGACTCTCCCATGAAACTCAGTCAAAAAGCAGCAAGGGATGTGCAAGGGATGTGCAAGTGACGTGCAAGGGATGTGCAAGGGATGTGCAAGTGACGTGCAAGGGATGTGCAAGGGATGTGCAAGCTCCTGCAATGAGCCCGGTCGGGCTTGTGTGTGTCCAACCCTGTTTCGAAGGGACCTCGATTTCATGTAGGCAGGGGGCGCAAGAAGCATTCTGGAGTCTTGCGCCAACGAAGACGCTCCAGTTTGCTTGTGATATCACGGGAAGACGTTCCTGTGACGTACCTGCACAACGGCCGCCCGAAGTACCCCAAAGACGCTGTTGTTTCACAATTGGCCGAAATGACAAGATCTAATAACTTCAAGAAGCTGACTCTTCTGACTTTGAGAGTGTGATTCGAGACCTGCGACACGATGTGTCAAGTGTGTGTGGGTGTGTGTGTGCGCGTAAACGCCTGGATATGGCGACTGTAAGGCGTAGCAATTTCCGCAGCTTTCGTGTCAGTGCAGGGGGTCCCAGGTCTGCTGCCCATGCTGGGGCCAACGAAGACCATGAGTAGCGGACGTGTAAACGTACCTGCTAAGAGGAGTACCTGAGTGGCTGAGTCCGCAGCTGGTATCCTCAACGGGGACAGAACCTTTTTCCTTGAAACGTGTTACATGTTGCTACCAGCATTGCACGTCGCAGACAGCAGCATATGCCATTCCCATTTTGGGCCAGAAACCTAGCCCATGACGACGACCTGTTGCAGTCTGTCGAAATGTCGACTTGTTCTGTCTGACTTTCTTCGCATCAGTTCGTGCCGAGCCAAAGTGTTTGTCGTTCTGGCTTGCCCGAGTTTTGGGGCCAGGTCAGAGTGGGCAATCGCCCAAGCCCGCGCTTGCGGATGTAATGTGCCAGCGCTGCCAACTGAACGTCATTGTGCACGCATCATCATGTGATAGAGGTTCATTAGCTGAAGCTGTCCGATGCCATCATCTTGTTCATGCTGGGACTGACGCATCTGGTTTCGTGACGAGCAAACTCTCGGCTTGCAAGTGAAATGCGGTTTCAGAGGGTTGGTGGGTTTCATGTGTCTCGACTCAGGATGTTCGAGGCAGTGAGGGCTGAGCGCGCTCCTGCGTGACGATCCATGAGTGACAGCATGTGCAACGGACTGTGTTTGCCTTGTGCTTGTCGGACGTGCATTCTCAGGGTTCCTTGCTGTCCGGATGGGGTGGCAGGGCGTAGGTAGTGGGCGGGACTGTGAGCGCACAGTTTACTGTACACATGTTGAAGTGCTCGAGTTCTTTTTCGCTGATTTAGGGGTCTGGCCTTTGGCACCGGCCCACTACACTTGGACACTGGCCTCGCGGCACCGGCCCATTACACCTGGGCATTGGCGGCCTCTCGGCACCTGCCCACTGCTTGCACCTACTTCGTTTCCTTGCGGAAACAAGCACACCGCATTGCAATTGGCAATGCAACCACATGTTTGCATCTGAGATTGCCTTGGTTCTCCCAGGGCTTGTGTGTAAACGCCTGGACCTGGCGACTGTAAGGCGTAGCAGTTTCTGCAGCTTTCGTGTCAGCGCAGGGGGTCCCAGGTCTGCTACCCATGCTGGGGCATGCTGGGGCCAACGAAGACCACGAGTAGCAGACGTGTAAACGTACTTCCTGAACCCCGAATTCTGCCACCGAAAAGCTTGAAACCAATTGAGAAGAAAACGCAGACTTCGGGTGCCCAGCGCATAGCCTCCGAGGCTTCATATACGGCATCGGTTTCCGGATGTATGCTTGAGGGCGTTTTTCGCACGGCCTTAGTTTGTTAAGGTTGCCCGGTGTCAGAGTGATCGTTTGGCACGGTGGAATGCTAGAAACAGCGCCTCTTGTCCTGGGCACTCCAGACGCTTGTTGAAGGGGAACATCTCAACGAACTTCAAGAGGAGTACCCGCTTGGCTGGGTCCACAATTGGTATCCTCAACGGGGACACAACTTTTTTCCCTGTAACGTGTTACATGTTGCTGCCAGCATTGCACGTCGCAGACAGCAGCATATGCCATTCTTTGTGTCAATCTCTCAACACATTCCATTCCTTGGGGTATGGAATGAGGAACCGAAACCTATCCCATTTTGGGCCAGAAACGTAGCCCATGACGACGACCTGTTGCAGTCTGTCGAAATGTCGACTTGTTCTGTCCAACTTTCTTCGCATCAGTTCGTGCCTAGCCAAAGTGTATGTGTGTGTGTGTGTGTGGAGGGGTTGCGTTGTTGACATCAACAGATGAAAATCCAGGAGGAATTGGACATCGAGAAGCCTAATTTTAACGCTACGCCGCCCGCCTCGGCTGTGTAGCGGCAGGGCGAGGGGGCAGTCGATGTTTTTCAATGCTAGGGCGGCCTGTCCAACCCCACCCTTGGACGGTTGAGAACTGGTACAAGGGGGGTGGGGGAGGGGGGGGAGGGGGGGAAGGGGGGGGGGGGGGGGGGGGGGGAGGGGGGGGGGGGGGGGGGGGGGGGGGGGGGGGGGGGGGGGGGGGGGGGGGGGGGGGGGGGGGGGAGGGGGAGAGGGGGATTGGTGCAAGTCACATCGAGAACCGAACCCGAACCCACAAGCTGTAGCGTAGCATTTCCATCGGCCGTTCCCCGAGTGCTCAAGCTTCCGTCCCAGCGAAGCAGCGGTTCTGTGGTCCCTCCCTCTGTCAACGTAGAGGAATCGAAATAACAACTACGGCGGCTACGACATTTCGCCATTGGAAGTCGGCAAGTCGGGATAGGACGAGGAAGCATGTTCCCAAGGCTGTCTTGCCGCAGTGGTACGATGGATTTTACCAGCCACTTGCATAATGGCAACTTGCACGGGGAAGCAGATGGACAACCTTCAGAAGCTAACATGCCTACGTGAAATTTTCTCCTGGCCGCAAGGTACGTCAACCAGAATTTCGAAGATTTTCGGCAGGCATACCAGATCTTTGATACCAGGCTCAGCCATGGCAAGCAGTCAAAGTTCGTCTCATTTCCGCAGTTTTTCAGGCTCTCGGATGGAATTGGTCTGTCGGAGTGGGAGGCTGCAGAGCATGATGTACATGCATGGCTGGCAAACACGGAGGGAACTACTGAATCTGATCCTGCCTGATACCGCCTGTGGCAAGGACCGAAGACAAGACTTCGGCTTTGCCGATGCAGAGCGTTGGGTGCGCTAAGCAGTGTGCGGCAGGACTTCTTGAGAGATCGCCATGACATTGCTTCTGAAGCAGGCTCTGGTTTACGGCAAGATGGTCGGGTTGCAGCACCCGCGATGGGACAATGAACAGTCTGAAGCTACGAAGGTGCCCTGCTAAATGCTTTGCAAGACGGAGTCCGGCCAAGCTTTCGCAGTTGCTGAGGTTACATTGGAAGCCTTCACGTCGCTACTCACTGATGCAGCTCCTGTGAACAACCTCGTTTCTTTGCGTCCGACCATCCTGCTTGGCGGAGCGGTCGCTGGGCCGTCGCCTCCAGTCTGCCAGGCGCTCGATGCCAGAAGGCTTTTGGCTCGCTCTCCAGAGCCTGGAGCGCCATCGCAGAGGACCAAGAGGAGGCCGCAGATGCCTCTCTCTCTCTCTCTCTCTCTCTCTCTCTCTCTCTCTCTCTCTCTCTCTCTCTCTCTCTCTCTCTCTCTCTCTCTCTCTCTCTCTCTCTCTCTCTCTCTCGCTACCTACGCTAGCACTAGTCCGACTACTCTTGCTCCGCAGGTTGCGCTGTCGAAATGGCAGCACTCCCTGGTACGCTTGAACATTGGCAGAAACGATTCTTGGCTGCTTCGGATTTGTTACTGTCCATGGGGTGGTGCCCGGGACAACCTCACAAATCCTGCAGAAATGTGTAGTTTGGCATTGCCCACTGAATGACGACTGCGCTCACGAAACATTGTCCTGGCATGTCCTGGCCTTGCAATGCATTGCAGATGTTTTGCAACTCTCATCTGGGCAGTTGGCAATCCGAGGACAGTCTGCAACTGTTTTGGCTACTATGTGCAGGGTCTTGCAGAGCTGAGTTGCGTGGAGCACAGCATGTAGCCCGTAGTCTGTGAAATGTCTGAAGCTTAAAAATTCTGACCGAGAGGTCAAGCCGAGGCCGAGGCAGGGAGTTGAAGCATACAAGTGCACACAAGTCAGCACTCACTATAGTTGTGAGAATCCAAAGATAGCAGAGGTTTCGCTGCGCTCGGGCGCGGGGCGTTCCTGAGTGTGCCTCCGCTTGACAGCATCACAGCACTGCTCAGACTCGCATCTTTGGCTCCACTCGGGCACTTGGCTCTGAAGTGAGGCGACAAGAAGCAGTGCTGTTGATGCGAGCAACACCATGTCAGGGACTCTGTGACGTGTGAGCATGTGACTGTTCACCATTGCCAACAGTTCCAGTGCGACTTGCGTCCAAGAATTGAACTCCTCAACGGCATGTCTGCCACTCCGGCTGGCTGCTCAGATCCTAGCTGTATGGTGTGCACCGAGTGCTGCCTTCAGAACTTGAACTCCTGCGAGGTGTCCGCAATGTTTGAGATTCCATATCCTCGGCCGCTTGACAGCATACGCTCTTTCTTGGACGCACAGAAAGTCAGACGGACTCAGGCGACTGCTCTCCCAAGAGGATTTCACTTCGGCAGTGCACGACCTCAGTAGTCATGCCAGAGATTACCAGGGTTAAGAGTCTATATGCAGGCTTCGAGACTAATCCATCCGAGGTGATTCCAATCCTGCTCAAGTGCCGTGAACCCTCAGACATCCGCTATACGGAAGATTCCGTGAAGCAGGTGCATCAATCTTATCATGGAAGAGTTCTGCCGTGCAATTTCGCAGGAAGCCAGGCTATTCTTCAATTACTTGGATGCAGACTCGGAGGCCTCGGAAGCCAAAGTCGCCGGCTGACAGAAGCCGCGTCCCATTTCAGGGCTTTGTGTCGATCGACGACCTCTTGCACGGAATGTCCGCAATCCAGGTCGGCGCCGGTCTTTCAAGGTTCTTGATGGAGGGGTGCTTGTTTAGCGCGGCAGGCAGTGTACCTTCCTCTGGAGGCTTGGCGTACTCGTGGCTTCGTGATGTAGACTGGTTAAGCTTCATTCATTGTTCCGTACAGGAGTCCTCGAATCGCGCTGAACTTAGATCCAAGGAATCCAAGGTTTGCATGTCGAACAAGCAGCAGCCATACGCCGCATCAGGAACGGGGGCTGCCTCTGGGAACTCGCTGCCCCTACTCCAAGCAGTTCCCTGAGCATGGCAGCAAGGCCAGAGCCTCGGAAACACGGACATGCATTCTCATGGTTCGGCTGAGAATGGCAGTGTTTCATGCAGCATCTAAGGCAATCAGCAAGTTCATGAAGTGAGAGCTTGCGAAACCAACTGGGCAGCCCGGGCTTGTGCAGTTCAGCTAGCATCGAAGTGGAAATAGTTGCGACGGTTTAACAATTGCAGGTTGGGATGTGTTTGGCAGCTTTCAGGGTGGGGGACGACAGGAAGCATGCAGCATTGAGGAAGCAAGTGTGGACACAACGTGGCGGAACCCCACAAGGACATGACTTTTCACTCCGAGTTTTGCATCTTCACTCCTCCAAGGCACTGGGTGCAGGCAGATAAGAGTAAGAGTGGCTTCGATAGACACCCCGGTGGTTGTTCTTTCCTTTTGCCACCACTTTGATGCTCTGTCGGTGCATGTTGCCCACTCCTCCTCTGGGCCCCAGAACATTGGATTGCCTACAGATCCTCGTTTTGTGCATTATGCGTCAAGGATTGACCTTTGTCACGCCTTTCTCTCTCTCTCTCTCTCTCTCTTTTAGGTTGCTGTTTTGCCGGTCTTGCACGACCTTTCGTGTTCTCCTCGCCTTTACGAAGGAAACATCAACATTTCATCCTGTACTTACTCAGATCAAACACGATGTTCCTCAAAGTATGCATGCATCATCCGTTAATGCTCCGAGTGCTCAAAAACTGAGCCCGGATGTGCCTCTATGCTCTGAAAAGCAGAGCATGGGCCCTGGACCAGACACCTGGAAGAGCAAACGGTGACGCCTCAGATCGTCCTGCAAAACAGATTTTTGCACTGCAGCTGCTGCCGCATCATGCAAACAGCTGCTTCCGCAACATCTCTTCGAAGATTGCAGCTTTTGCTTTTCTTCAGCAACGTCAACGTCAAGCCAGTCTGAGCTCTGTCAAAAACCGCTGCGGATTCGAAGGCTGTCTCCGGTTCGCAGGCCAACGTGTAGGATTGGCAGTCCTGCGCACCATGCCGGAGGCGATGTGCCTCAATCAGTTGCTCTGCAGCTTCCAATGACAGTCGGTTTGATTCAGGCGCTGAGTGAGCCCTAGCTGCTGTGCAGCATGCTGTTTGCAAGGCTGGTGAAAGCTCGGGTACAACTCATTTGCGTGTTGCTCGATTTGACTCGAAACAAGGAGGTTGTTGGCTGGGCCGGGTCGATGGTGGTTCAGAGACGCGATCGCCCCAGTGTGCGTCTACAATGGACCTGTACTTTCTAGCTGTGGTGTGACATGGTGCGACTCTGATCTGATGGTGAACGACAGGGGATGACGGTAGTTCATGTTCAGGTTGAGTTTGGCATGTGCGTGCAGTTTCATGCCGTGATATCTCTGGACACACGGCCCTTGCCGTCCAGCTGCATCCTTCTGCAGTTTCAAAGCAGCCACACGGCCACAGAAGAATCATGCTTCGGATTCCTCTAGGGCTACATGGAGCCCGAGGTCCATGATGCCCCGGACGTCCAGGTTTCCAGCGAGGACGTCCGATAAGCCGAGACTTTTTGCTTCGAGCGGATCCGTTCGTGTCATTTCGTGCTAGGAAGCCTGGGAAGACGCGGGGAGACAGCGATCAGAGTCTCAGGTGCAGCGTCTTGAAGCTTTTTCAGCTGAAGGCTACTTGTAGCAGCCAAGACGGCACCCGGAGCCTGCAAGTACGGTCGTACCGTCATACCTTTGCGCTTGTTAAGTTGAAGGGCTTAAGAAGTCATGGGATGACAGCTTTTCTTCTCCCTCCACAGTGAAGCATTGTCCCTAAAGGGACATCTGCCGTACGAAGGATGTGCCCTGGAATGGCACAATGATCGTCCTTGGTTTGGCGAGGTGTAGTGAGTGTGTCCGCGCTATGACCCTATGCATCTGGCCCAGACGTGGGCCTGAGAAGCTCCAGGACACTAAGTCGCTGAATACTTGTGGATGCTTTCTTCGAGGTAATTTCGAAATGTCTTTGCTACGGCTCTTCCAGAGTGCCGCGTGCCTCGTGCGCAGGTCAGCAATCTTGATGAGTGGGACTGGGACATCGTCGAGGCGACTGAGGACGGTGAACACCTGTTGTTGTCATGTCAACCTTGGGGCAATGGTTCAGCACCAGACCCTAGCAGGGCCTAGCCTCTGTCCAGGATCAAAGCCGCGAGATCGCCGTATTGGCGACCCTTCCTGGCGATTTCGCCTCGGATGCGGCGATGGAGCCCGAAAGCCCGGCTCGGACACAATGTGGATCAAGCTCCTCGTGCATCTGCCCAAAGGCAACAAGGGACACTGCCGTAAGAGCAGCCCCATTCGAGACCGTTGTCGAGGACGTGTATGTGGGATTGACTTCGCCATTGGAGCGATCGGACGTCACGGAACCAGACGACGAGTCTGGCCGGCCACCTCCAGACGAGTCTGGCTCCGACGATGGAGCCGCACTCAGCAACGTGCGCAGCTCGGAGCAGGCAGCCTCTTGGTGGCAAGTCTTCCTTGCACTGAAGGTCGACCACGATCGTTTTCAGTGAGATTCGCACTTAGTCAATAGTTGCTCAGTTGCTGCCTACCATGCGAGGCTCGAGTTGGATCCTTCAGGACTTTAGGACCGTTTCAGGTTCTTGTGGCTATTTTGGGAGTACAGGTTGGGTTCCCACAAATCAACCCTCAACCCTTGAATCGAAACCTCTGCAAGCGCAGCTGTGGCTGCTGTGTTTGGGCCACTGCGGGCATCTTCAGGCACCTTTGGCTGGGTTCGCTGCACCCTGTGGAAGGCTCGAGCTGTCTTGCTTGAGATGTTGCAGCAGTTAGCTTCGAGGGTGGTTGCACAATGGAGCTGTGCGCACACCGGCCAGCTGTCGAGAACACCGGATCTGCAGTTGATTCAGAAGCACATTGGTACAGACGAGTCAGGAACACAGCCAAGCCGAGATTGAAGTTGATACCGTCGTACTGTTTTTAGTCCCATTGGGGGGAGAATGCCTTTGAGCATTGGCTGCAAACGATGGCTTTAAGTTCCTCCTTTGTGTTCTCCTCAATGCTGTTTCCTCTCATTCTCCCATGCTCCCTGGTGTTCAATCTACACAGGCCAGTGAGGGTTCTAAGTTCTAAGGTATGAGATTGCGTTTATGGCGTCTGCAGCAGTCGCTCCGACGCCGAAACTGTGTACAGACGTTCACGGAGGCAGTAATCTACTTTGACAAGTTTCGTACATTCCCGGAGGCACGACTCGCGGAACCTGCTACCACAGATTGCAAGCCCCAGTCGGCGAAAATCGCACTCCTTGAGGGGGTTTCGAAATAAAGGATTAGCATCTGCCGACTTTCCACTTCATGAAATCACCATTAGAATTTCGACACGCATCCTCAAACGCAGCCAAGGCTTCTAAGACAAGTTCAAGGGACGCTTCGGATCAAGCGATCAATGGGGCCCTTTTGTCGCAAAAGTTCCAGTCGACGGCACAACATGCGCGGAGAGATATTCATGGTTCGTGTCAATGGCCGCTCGCGATCGAGCACCTTTGCATGTCACGTCGTTCGGCCCATCGGCCGTCACAACCCATTTCCGAGCCACTCTACAGCGTGAAGTATCCTCAGCTCGGAGCGCTGCTTTTTCCTTGTGATTGGACAGAATACAGCGACTGGGGAAGCCCTGCAAATCACCGCCGATATCGATGAAGCGCAAGATCCTATCTCGAAAAGTTCGATCCCTCTCACGTCATCAAAGCTGTTGTTGGGGAGATCCTGAAAGATGGATTCCGACATTTACCGCGAGCGTGAACTCCGAATCGTAGCCGGGATGCTATTTCTGCGATTAGAAGGCACCTGCGACAGCGGCTGTCAACCATTGTCTGTCGCCCTTGGAGGGAGCTATAAGGAGCTGCTATGCCTTGGGTGCGGACATGCTAGCGCTGCTAGCCATGCTCAGCAGGCATGTCACACACACAACTGCAGACAGGACAGGAAAGCTCGCTGCATAGCGTAGAAAAGGGAGTTTCAACGTTTGCGTGAGTGCCACGCCAGCATCAGAGTTGCAGGTTTGCAGCGACCACGACCTCCTGGTGTGGACTCTATCCAGGCCCATCCGGGGATCTGGATTGCGCTGTTGCATGTGTCACACCTTGTAACGGGTGTGACACTGCGGAAGGCACTGTACCAAGAGGTAGTGAAGAAGAGTTGGCCGTGGCCTCAGCGCTTATGAGCTGGTTTTGTCGGATCGCTTTTTGACAGGGACAGGTGTGTGCAAGCCCCATGTACTGTAGCACATTGAGGCTACACGGGGCCTGTTTATATAGGCACGGCAGCCAGATGCGTTCGATTGTCTGAGGCCAGCAAGCTTCAGCGGCAGTTAGCCAGGGCAGAGCAAGAAGGTTGTGTGGCTTCGGCATGAAAGCTTTGCCGAGCATCATCTTTCTGAGTCTATCGCAGGTCAATGACTGTGTCCTGTTTGGGCATCATGAATCTGTCACTAGGCAGAGTCAAAGCCCGTATCCGCCAGGTGCTGCAGTCAGGCAGCCGACATTCCGCAGTGGCCGACGTGCAAGCCACAACGGCTGATGAGGACGGGAAATGGATGTAGTCTCTAGATCATGCCATGTCTGGCTGAGTGCGCGAGCAGAGCAGGCTTTGGTTTCGGGAAGCGGAGAACCGAATCATATCTCGAAAACGTCAACAGGGCTTGGGTAGGGAGTGCGGGCTAGTGGAGCTGCGGTTAGGCTGAAGCCTACAGGTAGGCCGAGGGCTAAGCTGGGGGTAGGCAGCAACGATGCGAGTAGTAGTAATTAGTCGGCAGCAGCCGTAGTAGTACTTTAGTACTTTCATTAGTTTGCGGCACTAGTTGTTGAAAACAGCCTCCACCAAAGTGCAGATTTTGTTGAGTTTCAACCAGTGTTGGATTCCGCTAAAGCATCCGATATGTAGCAAAAACAAAGGGATTTTGGCTGCGTAGGCGAGTTCTGTTCCAACGAGCACTACAGGAGACAACATCTGGATTTCTGCTCTGTTGGGAGCCGCCCTGTTGCATATTTTCAAGATGTACTCTCCATCACATTTTTCAACGCACCCAAAAGCAGCAGACACATAGGGCAATTTTTTCCATTTCTCGGTTTCAGGGTATTCAACTTTCACGAAGTCTCGAGCAATTTCGTATGTCCGAAAGTATTAACAAGCGAAACCAAAAGGTGGACGACACGTAGGCGCAAAGCACCAGCAAGTAGACGAGACACAGGCATAGGCGTATTTGTCTTTTTGTCGGGTTGTACTAGGCAATGAATGTCAAGGTTCATCTGCGTAACTTGCTGTGAGGCCAAGGCAGCACGGCCGAAATCGAGCGGGTGTGGTGCCGAGAAGACCTGCTTTTGCGTAGGACCTAGGACCCCCGTTTTCAGATTCAAGGACTTGCGTTCAGCTCCTGTACGCTTCCAAGCGTCATTCCCTTTTCGACTTCCAGGAGAGCTCTCTTCTGAGACTTTTTTCCATCATGTTACGTCGATGTTTTTGTCGGGCTTCAGCCCTGCCGCATTGCCTCGTGCTTGTCGCTTGTCGCCTTTTCAGTACTGGTGGCCAGGCGCAGCGCCGGCCAGGCTAGGAAGAAGACAACAGTACTTGCAACGCCATACAATGCCATGCACTATGTATCAACGTTACCAGAGCTATTAACACAGTCGAAGGGCAAGGGCAGCATCCTCATGGCCGCTCGCTCCAACCGCCCGAGACCTCCCAAGCTCTCGCACTCCGGTAGCTTGGAGAAAGTTGACGGTGTGCTGAGCCGTCAAACCTCAAAAGATTCATCTCCCGTTGCATTGGCGGCCTTTGGTTTGTTGAATCCGCCAGACTCGCACCCGTCTACTCCGATTGGTGTCCCTGAGCTGAAGAAGCCGCTTGCCTTAGACGATGTAAACGAGGACCTGATCGAAAGGGAGAGGGAGACGTGGCACGCATGGTTGCAGCGGCTCTTGGCCTTTACGGGGCCTGGTTGGCTGATGAGCATCGCGTACGTCGATCCTGGAAACCTCGAAGCAGATCTTCAAGTCGGGGCACAATTTGGATACTCTTTGTTGTGGGCTCTAACAGGTGCTACGTTCATGGGTCTGGGAATGCAGCTGCTGGCAGCTCGGCTAGGCTGCGCTACAAAGCGCCATTTGGCAGAGCACTGCCGGGATGCCTTTGAGTTTCCACTCCGGCAGCTTCTTTGGATGCTCACCGAGCTTGCGATTGTCGGCTCGGACATCCAAGAGGTGATTGGCTGCTCCATTGGCCTGGAGCTACTTTTTGGTATCCCCTTGACTGTTGGAGTATTGATCACGGCCTTTGCGGCCTTCATCTTCCTTTTCTTGGAACGTCTGGGCACACGACCGCTGGAGCTGTTTTTTGGTGTGCTGATTCTGATTTTGGCTTTGTCCATGGGTCGCTTGTATGCAAGAATTTGCCCTGACAGCATGGCAGTGGCAGAAGGTCTTCTCGTTCCCTGGCTACCACCTTCCGCCATGCAGCAGGTGCTCGAATAGCAAACACGTCTGCAACCAGTCTTGACATATATGGTCACGCGCTCCGCGGCCCCCGCTTCCCCCCCGGCCCCCGTCATGGTCCATGGTCCAAAACGCCGCCTCCCCTGCGGGTGGGGTGTGGGGTCCTTCCCCTGCGGGTGGTTGTCGGGGTTTTGGGTTTAGTTCAAAGGCATAAGCGGCATGAGGCTTCGCGTCGACAAGGGCTTAGGGAGGGTTTGGGGTGTAGTTTCGTTATGGTTGACAGTTCATGTTCTGCTGTAGGCTTAAAGCCTGCATTCAGGGTGTGCAGTGTAGGGTTTAAAGTACGGGGTCAAGACAGGAACATGCGCTACTGTGCTACGTTACAGGGTTTGTGGCTTGCGTAGGTACGATCCTCGACCCCTGGCCGCTCCTCCAAGCCGCAGCTCCAGCGGCCCCGACCCCTCTCCGCACACGCCACGCCCCCGCCCACGACCCGCCCCCTACCAAACCATACCATTGGGATCTATTGGGGGGGGGGGGGGCCGGGAACGCCAGACGCCTGACCGCATATGAAAAAGTTAGATAAATAATATATACAAATAAATATACAAATATAAATATACAAAATAAATGTATGTGTGTGTATGTGTATATACGTAGGTATATTTATATTTACATTTTATCTTGATAGTTTCTGTTGTCCCCTGCAGGTAGTTGGGATGGTTGGCTGTGTGATCATGCCGCACAACCTGTTCTTACACTCTGCTCTTGTGCAAAGCCGTGTGGTGCAGCCTGGGGGCGAGGCAGATGCTGTTTGGCTCTTCACAGTGGAGTCAACTTGTGCGATCCTCACCTCGCTGATCATCAACACCTTCGTCGTAGCAGTCTTTGCAAAGGGCTTCTTTGGCAAGCCCGGCACCGATGCAATCGGTCTGGCAAATGCGGGCCAATACTTGGGAGAGGCTTTTGGGCAACCTATGAAAATCGTCTGGGCCCTAGGTCTGTGTGCTGCCGGCCAGTCCAGCACAATGACCGGTGCCTACGCCGGTCAGTGGGTGATGCAGGGATACCTGGATTTGAAGGTAGCTCCATGGAAACGGGCCATCATTACCCGTTCCATGGCGCTAGTTCCATGCCTTGCTGTTGCAGTCTACTTTGGAGGACAGCGTGATGGCTTGGACATTCTCAACACATACTTGAATGTGTTGCAGAGTGTCGTACTTCCTTTCGCGGCCGTGCCCCTGCTCATGTTTGCAGGGTCGAAGCGCGTCATGGATAACCTCGTATTGTCGAATACCTCGCTGATTGCTGCTTGGTTTGCTACAGCCCTGATCATTTGCGCCAATCTATACCTGGCAGTAGAGCAGTTTGCTGGCCTTGGTGTGGCACGCATGCAGGTCGGTTGCAGTCTTTACGTACTAACGATACTCTACGTTGCCTGGAAGGGCCATCAAGCAGTGAGATAAGGCATTGTCTGAACTAACGTACGCCTGCGCGGTGCAAAAAGGAGACATCTGAAAGCTCTTGATCCGTCTTCCAGGTGCAGAGCTGTGAAAAGCTTGGGAGTGTCGCTGGGAGGAGCTCGAGGCTGAAGAGAAGGTGCTGGAGTTTGCTGGCTGAGCTTTGCAGGCAATGTTCCGCGCATTCTTCACTGCCCTGCCCGTAAGTGGCAACGGTTTTCAGGCGTATGCCGTGGCTTTGGATGAGCGCTCAAGCTGTGCCTCCAAATCCGGGCAACGGCAGATGCTTTTTTGCGTGCTGTTTCTGTCGCTGACACATGCTGACCCCACAAGTCGCTGATGCTGCAAAGCAAGCAGATCCCTTGCCTGAGTCTTCGGATTTAATTTTGCACACCAGATCATTGTAGAGAGGATCTGGCGCATATGGCTTCCCTAATAACTGCAGACGAATATGGATGAATGCAGGAGATTCTGCCAAAACACTGCGTGATGCAGCCGCCCGTAAGGGATTTACACGCAAGGTGGAACAACAAGACGAACGTCTTTCCGTCATCGGACGTTTCTGCTCAGCCTTGACGAAGCGGCCATGCAGCCATGTGGAATCGAGAGAAAAGCGAGGACGTCCCAGTCGAGGAGTCCCCACTGACGGCGGCGCGCCGCAACGCGCTGCAGCGCCAGGCCACGCAGAGAACAGAGCCGCGCATCAGACGTTTCTGGCATTCCTGGCTTCTGCTGCTGGCCTTTGAAGTCATGATGCAGCATTTATCGCAGCAATAATTTTTGCATGCGACAGACAGAATCGGCGCGGGGTCGGAGTTGGCAGAGTGACATGTTTTGATGTGTGTCTCCGCCAGGACAGCCCGCAGCCTACTGAAAAGGCACGATCCTGGATGTGCAGTGAGGATTGCCATGCCTGCGCGAATCGAAGCTTTTTGAATCTCTGGCGTCTGGGTACAGGCTCGGAATTTCTGGTCTCTTCTGGGTCGGAAGGGCCCGAAGACCTCCCATGCAAAGACACGGGCGGAGCGACGGGCGGAACGCTGGGAGAGACATCGCAACTTTGAGCGGGTCCGCTTCGAGGCCGAGAGACGCCTGTGACTGTTCGGCAGACGCTTCAAGCCACAAGATTTCGTTTCCAGGTAGGCGATGGCGAAGATCCAGAGGAAGCCGATGCAAAAAATGCCCTGGGGTCCACAGCATATGTGGAAAGCCTCAGGACTCCAGCCAAATCAGACTAGTTACTGGTGTCAGCTTTCAACACCCCTCGCGAGGATGCAGAGGATGGTGAACTCAGCACAGAATTTTCAGCCACGCTCTCGACAGCAAATTTCGCCGATTGCAAAGCATGCAAAAAGTGCAGCTCAGAAGCAGGACCCCTGTGGGAAACACAGACCAAAGAGTGCAGTTTGAAGGGCTGTCAGGCTTTGAATTCTTCGACGTGGAGGCTTTGGGATCGGTGCCCTGCAAAAAGCCGCAGAGTCACCACTGTCTCGCAGAACGCTGAGAGTCTGTGCCAGGACCTGGCTGTGGAGGATGTGACAGAGAAAGCTTTGAACTTGGAGCACTGGTTTGACTCTGGGCTCCACCTGGGAGACGTCCTCCAGCCGAAGAAGATGCCACCTGCAGGCTATGAAGTCGCGGCCTGGTCAGAACATGTTCCTTTCCTGAAGCATCTTCGAACTGGCGTGGTCCTTTGGCCTGTCCGCTTCAACCTGCTGCCCTTCTTTGAAGCTCTTGAAGGGCAGATGGCCTACCGTCGGCTCGTCGTGGCCTTAGCTTCAGATGGCCTCGAATTCCCGGACCCTTCGAGTTGAGGTCACGGTCTATCACTACACCACCGGTTCTGGCTTCAACAGGATTGTGGCTCGTTTTGACGCGGGGACCGGCGACTTTCCCGAGGCTCATGACTTCGCCGAGGAACTCTGGGACAGGTGCGGTCCCTTCATTTCCCCTCATGTTCCGCCCATGCTGCATTTCCTGGGGCTCGACTTCATTGCGAGGCTAGTGGAAGACGTTCAAGGACTCGAAGCGAATGGTGAAGACATACCTGACGACGCTTTTGTTGCGACTTCTGCCTGAAAAGAGGCAGTTGCATCAAACGCACGGGTAATGGTATGAAGAGACAGCCACCCTTTGAGCTTATCAGGATCAAAGACCCCCCCGACATCTTCACAGACCGCGAGAAGCTGTGCAGGGCGGCCTGCAGGCTTCCAGATGGACATGGAGCCCTTGGCCGCAAGTTGCCGAGATGCCGCGCAGAGTGTTGGCCGTGTAGGCTTTGGGCAAATGCGGCAAATTGGTGTATGATGCTGTCCGTAACTATCGTTTTTCATGTTGGTCTGGACTCTAAGAGAGCATCCCAAGCCGCTTCAAAGTCCGAGCAGGAGTCGTCCGAACGGATTTTCACCACGTGAGGGTTTGAACGGGAGTGTGGCAAGTTGTCGACCTAGGACGCGTGCTGCCTCTGAGTCGCGTCTCCTACTGCATTGCTTTGCACGTGCCAGAGGACAGGATTCTCAGCAACAGGCCTTGCTGCAGCAGAAAATGCATTCCTGCTTTTTGGTCAGGGGCCCTGATCAAATCCATACTGGGTCTTGAAAAAGTGCTTCTTGTGTGTCTGTGTGTTCTTGATTGAAAAAACGTATATATATATATATATATATATATATACACATATGGTACTCCCCCCATGGATCTAGCATTTTCGTGTGTTCCAGAGCCCCACCACACGAAAAATCCTTGAAGGGAGGGTACAAGCCTTATTCCTCAACTTCGCGCGGTTCCGTCAACCAAGATTCCGTCAACCGCGCTTCCTTCAACCATGTTCCCCGCTTCCCTCAACTCAGATCGTGCCGATTCTTTCAACCCGCATCGCCTGCTTCCCTCAACTCCCGAGTCTGTCAACCCCCATTGCCCGCTTCCATCAACTGCTCATTCCGTCAACTCCGCACCCCCCCCCCTCCCCGCTTCCGTCAACACTACACTGCAATCTAAGCATTTCGCCCGCTCTTTTGCCAGTCTCGCATTGACAAATAGGGCAGACGTAAGTTAGTTTAAACATTTGTAGGTTTTATTTAGTTTAACACAGGAAAGCAAACTTTCGCAGTCTTTAGTTTAAACACAGAAAAACACATTTTCGGAGTCGCGCGTAGGCACCAGTTAGTTTAGACATGGAAAACAAACCGTTTATAGGGTTCATTTACTTGAAACACAAAAAAACAAACCTTCGGAGTCCCGGGTAGGCGCAGGTTAGTTTAGACATGGAAAACAAACCTTTTGTGGCGTTTATTTAGTTTAAACACAGAAAAACACATTTTCGACGTCCCGGGTAGGCACCGGTTAAATTAAACATGGAAAACAAACCTTTTGTAGGGGTTATTTAGTTTGAACACAGAAAAACAAACTTTCGGAGTCCCGGGTAGGCGCAGGTTGGTTTAGGCATGGAAAACAAACCTTTTGTAGGGTTTATGCAGTTTAAACACAGAAAAACAAACTTTCGGAGTCCCGGGTAGGCGCAAGCTAGTTTAGACATTGAATTCAAACCTTGAATTGGGTTTATTTAGTTTAAACACAGAAAAACCAACTTTCGGAGTCCCGGGTAGGCGCAAGTTAGTTTAGACATGGAAAACAAACCCTTTATAGGTTGTATTTAGTTTAAACACAGAAAACAAACTTTCGTAGTCTTGTTTAAAGACAGAAAAAACAAACTTTCCGAGTCCCGGGTAGGCACAATTCGTATGGCTTCTTTTTCTGTGTTGGAAATTTGTGTCGTTTTTGCTTTATATCATTTTGGTTGTCTTAGCTTTTTACCTTTCTAAAGCGATTTCGTATGGCTTCTCCGTTGTACTTCATTTACCTTTTTCTTCGCTCTTGACCCCCCTGAAGCGAGTTCGTGTAGCCTCTTCGTTCGTGTTGGAAAAGACGTTTTTGTGTACTCTTCAGCTATACAGTATTTACTTTCTTTTCTTCGCTTTTAACCCCTTGAAGCGAGTTCGTGCAGCTCTCCTTCTTATTCTTGTAGGAAAGACAAGCTCCACTTTTCTTCTCTTTTTGCCTTCCTAAAGGGATTTCGTGTGGCTTCTTCCTTGACGCTGATGAAATGTTTGTGCTTAGTTTTCGGTTGTACCTCATTTACTTTCTTCTTCGCTCTTAACCCCCCTTCAGCGATTTCGGGTAGCCTCTTCGTTCTTCAACCCCCTGAAACGATTTCGTGCGGCTCGTCTTCTTCTTGTAGGAAAGAAGAGCTTCACTTTTCCTCTACCTTTCTAAAGCAATTTCGTGTGGCTTCTTCCTTCATGTTGATGAAATGTTTTGCTTCAATTTTCGGTTGTACCTCATTTGCTTTTTTCTTCGCTCTTCACGCCCCTGGAGCGATTTGGTGTGGCCTCTTCGATCGTGTTGGAAAAGACGTTCGCTTCGGACTTCCTGAAACGATTTCGTGAGGCTCTTCTTCTTTTGTAAAAAAGACAAGCGCCACTTCTTTGTTTAGCTTTGTACCTTTCTGAAGCGGTTTTGTGTGGCTTCTTCCTTCATATTGATGAAATGTTGTTTATTTACTTTGTTCTTCGCTTTTAGCCCACCTAAAGCGATTTTATGTGGCCTCTTCGTTTGTGTTGGCAAAGACGTTTTTGTGTAATGTTCTGCTATACAATGTCGAATCTTGTTCGTCGCTTCTGACCCCCGGAAGCGATTTCGTGTGGCTGAATTCTTCGTGTTGGAGATAACGTTATCAATTAGTTTTTGGTTATGCAGTATTTACTTTCTTTTCTTTGCTTGTAACTCCGTGAAACGATTTCGTGCGGCTAATCCTTGTAGGAAGGACAACCTCCACCTTCCGAGTGTGTTCATCTTCCCTCGGAGTTTGTTTGGAGTGTGTTTTTCCTTGGACCAACAAACCGTTCCCCCCAGAGTTTGTTTTCTGTAGGAAACACAAAACCCTCCCGCCAGAGTTTGTTTTTGTAGGAAAAACAAATCCTCCTCTACCCCCGCGCCGCCCAAACCACTCC